TTATATATAAAACTTTTAGGTAACTATAGAATTTTATTAAGAGTCTTCTCAAAACTGTTGCTTTTTTTGTATCTGTTTTATAATATGATCAAATTAAAAATGTAGGTTTTTGCTAAAACTCTTATTTTTGTTTAATAATTTTTTTATAATTAAATATTTAATTTTTTTTTTCGCCGGAATATATAGATAACTATATAGTATTTATATAATATTCTATTTATTTTTAATTACTATTGTATTTGTGATTTTTCTGTTTTAAAATATTTAAAATAAGAATATATTTATTATTTTAAATAGATTTTAATTGTATTTATGCTTCTTTCTTTTTTTATTTTGTATTAATTTTTTGATCAAATAAAAATATTTATTTTATTTTTGTGTTGTACATTTTAATTTCACTATTTTTTCAATTTCTGTTTTTTTTTTTTTTCATTTTTATTTATTTATCGAGTGTATATATTGCAAATGTATATATAATATTTAAATTTTTATTTTTTCAACTATATAGATTAAACCATAAATTGCTTCTTCTTTTGTTAAATTTTAATATTTTTTGTTTTTTAATATTTTAAGGTTTTGTATTTTCTCATTTATTTCTACTCTTTTGGAAAAAATCTTTCTTTAACAATTAATTTTAAAATCAATGTATTTTGAGTGTTTTATAAATTTGATTACAATTATAATAAATTTTGTGTATTTTGAATGAAATGAAACATAAAAAAGAGAGAATTTACGGAGGCATTTACTAAAATGCAAGGGCCTTACTATCTAATTTGATTTTTTGCCAAACGATTTTCGTTTTTTCAGGAATGGAAAATTAGTACAATACAAATTGATTGAGTAATATCTCATCATTTTTTTTTTTTGAATACGGACATTGTTTTACGAAAATCAAATTACATAGTACAAGGAATTAGCTCAGATCTTTAACATCAATTTGATTTATTCAGCAATATAATTTTGAATTGCTAAATTAATTTGATTTTAAATCTATTACATTTTGGTAGACAACCTTATAATATAAATTTTTTTGTTGCAATCTGTACTATATTTAATATTTTTTGTATTTTAAAATATTTAATAAAAGAACAAAATAATTTAAACAATTATTTTAAAATTGAAGTAAAAAATTTCTCTAACTCTACAAGAAGAAGAAGAAGAAGTACATCTCTATTGGTATTGTTCTATTATTTTTTCAATATTATTAATTATTTTTTCATATGATAATTTTTTGTTCTTAATAAATATAAATAATAATATTTATATATTGTAAAGAAATTTATAAAACACTTGTTTTTTTTTTTTTAATATTTCTATTTCATAAATTGGAAAACAAAAATATTTCTTTGAGTTTCTTATTTTTCCTTTATTTGATTATTTAAGAGTTCTACTTTAGTTTGTAACTTTGCGTTTTAGAATAAAGAAAGATAAAAATAATTATTTTATTTTTCTTTCGAACTCAAAATAAAAGAAAATTTTAATATATTTTTATATGTGAGATGATTTTTTTTTTGTTTTTTGAAACCAGGAAAATGCAAACCATTTTTTATCTTAAGTTTTTTTTTTTTTAATAAAACAACAACATAGAAAGAAACACTACTACTCCATATTCTGTTAGTCGCATTACTTCGGATAATTGGATATTATTAAAATGAATTTTATTTTTCACTATAGAAATTTCAGATTTCGGAATTCAGTTTATTCAGAAAATTACAAGGATTTTTGAATAACAACCCATGACATCAAGTGATTTGACTAAAAGAATATGGGTGTACATTTTCAAAAATCATAATAAAAAAAGGACTAAAAAAAATATTCAAAAAAAAAAAAAGTTTAAATAAAAAAAAAATCTTTAAAATTTCATGTAATTAAATTATTCTTTATTTATTTATTCAATTATTTATATTATTTTTTTTTTTTAATAGTCTTACACATTTCAATAGGGCATTTTTTTTTTTTTGTTTAAAATAAACTACTAATTTTATTTCTTTTTAAACTAATTTTAATTATTTCTCTTGTTTTTTTTTTTTTTTTCAAAATAAACTTACTAATTTTTTATTAGATTTTTTCTTTTTTAATATGCATGTTTTTCTTTTTCAAAAAAAAAACATTTGCATTATACAATTACACTAAATTAAATTTATAGTTTCATATTCTGTTTTATTTTATTTTTTTTTTTATATTAAATTATTTAAGCAATTATAAATAATATATATTTTTTGTATAATATAATATTAATAAATATGTACATTATTTATATATGCATAAATTTATATTATATACATATATATATATATACATATTTGTATGAAATATTGTTTTCATTTTTTTATTCTTCTTCTTTTGGTAAATGCTATTTTTATTTAATTAATTATAACAATTAATGGAAGCTTTTTTTTTTAAAATAGAAAAAAAAAAGAATAGAAAAAAATTCAAAATTAAATCATCTCTTAATTTTTGAGCCCTATTAAAAAAAATGGCCTCATATTACAAAAGGTACAAATAATGGAAAAACATTATTAGTGGATTTAGAATTTGCAACAAAAAAAAATTAAAAAATAAATAAAAAATCTCAATTGAAAAAATTTATTACTATTATAGTGTCATGGAATTCATTTATATATTTTTGTATTATATATTTCAATAATTAAATTAAAATTTTTCAAAAGAATTGTTTTCGATATTTGTAAAAATAATGTTGATTTAATTTCGTTTTCAAATTAATTTCATATATTGCAATAAATTAAATTTCATTTGGAAATTATTAAAGAAAAAAAAAAAAAAATTATTCAAAAATAAATATTCAATAAATAATAATTTCAACTCAATATTCAAATTTTTAATATAAATTAAAATAGAAACAAAGAAAAAAATAAAAGAAACTTCCATTAAAAATAGGAAATATAGACCGATTTTTGTTTTATTTTTCTAAATTAATTATTATTTTTTTTTGTTTTTTTTTTTTTGCTTTTTTATTAAAATGAAAATATTTTAATGATAATTCAGAAATTAAATGAAAATGTTTGTATAATATTATAATAAGTATGCCCAAAAAAATTTTTACAAATTAATTTTTAATAAATCCTTAAATTATAATTAAATTTGAATTTTGTTTTTTTTTTTTTTTTAATTTACATATTTAGTTATAAATTTTTATTTAAATTTTTATTTAAATTTCAAATTATCAAATCAATTTTTATAAATCATAGTTTAATCATTTTTAATATAATTAATTATAATAAACAAAAATGAAAAAAAAAATTAATGAAAATTATAATAGTTTTTTAATTAACAATTTTATTGTAATATTTTGTAATTAAATAAAATCAAACAAAATAAAAAAATAATAATAATAATAATTTATTTTTGATTATTCTTTTGTTTTTTTTTTCTTTTGCTCTTCAATTTTCTATTAAAGTTATATAATTTTTGAGTAAATTATATTTAAATATTAAATTAATTATTTCATAAATAATTAATATTATAGTTCAAATGAAATTTTAGCAGCAAAATGATTTTACAATAGAAAAACAATCATTAATGATTTTAAATGATTTTAAATTTATAATTAAAATTTTTAATTATTTATTTTTGAAAATGAAAATTTTTTATTTTTTTTTTTTATATTATATGAGAAAAGTTATAAAATGTTAAACATTAAAAATGAAAAAATAAAAAAAAAAAATGTTAAACATTAAATTAAATTTTTTTAATAAATTTTTTTTTTGAATTAAATCCATTTTTGTTTTTTTTTTAAATTAATTAATTAATACATTTGATATATATATATGTATACAGATAGATAATAATATAAATTATATTCTTTATTTTGTTTGTTTTAAAGTTTTTTTTAAAATTTTATCAAAATTATTTTTTTGTTTTACATTCAAAATGTGTGTGTGTGTGTGTATTGAATCATATTAATTTTATATTATTTTCATTTTATGTTTTTGTATTTTTTTTTTTATTTTTTTTTGTAGTTTTTAAATATAAAGAATAAAAATAAATTAATTCATTTCATATTTTTTTTTTTTTGTGTTTTTTTTTTTTTCATAATTTATAATTTAGCAAATTAAATTAATATTTTTATTTTCTTCATTTTTATTATTTTCAATAATTATTTTTTAATTTATTTTCTAAAATATTATTAGATCTAATTTAATATGTATGCAAATATATGTATATATTTTACATATATTTATATTTTATAAATATATTTATTACGCATATATATATATACATTTTTTTATTTTTAATCTACATATTTTTTTTTTAATTTCAAATTTTTTTTTTTTGTATTTATTTTAAATTTTAAATTTTATTCTCAATTGCGACTAACTACATTTTTATAATTATTATGTTTTTTCTTTAATAATAATAATAATAATTAATAATAATAATTAATATTAAATTTAATAATTAATAAATTTTATTTATATTTTTTTTTTTATTATATTATATTTTATGTGTGTGTATGTATATTTTAAATAATAATGATTTATTTTAAAAAATCATTTTTTTTTGTTTTATTTCTTGTTTGTTTTCTTTACATTTTAATTTATTTTTTATTTTTATATATAATAAGTATTTTTGTTTTTTACATAGTTTATTACTATAATAATTGTAATAATAATAATAATATAATATATATATTTTTTTTAAATTATTTTCTTTTCGGTTTCAGTTACATTAAATTGTAAATTTTTTTTTTTATTTCTTATTTTTCATTTCTTTTTTCTTCTTTTCATTCTTATAATAATTCAGGATTCAGTTTTTGTTTTTTTTTTTTGTTACATGTACTTTTACTGTTATATATATGAAAATATATATATATATACATAGATATTTATATATATATACATGTTTTATTTAATATTAACTAATTAATTTTAAAAATAATAATTTAATTCATTTATTTTTTAATATTGATTTACATTTTGATATTCAAAATATCCTTAATTTAATTTAACATGTATATAATATAATATTTAGGTACATATATATATATAAATATGTATATATATTTAATAATATTAAAAAAATGAAAAAAATTGAAAAAGAAAAAATTATTTAATCATTTTTTTTTTTTTGGTTATTGCCTTTTTGGTTCTTGATTGTGAATTTTTAAATCTGCATATACATATATAAAGGATGATATTAATTTTTATTAAATATGTACATTTATTATGGTATATTTGAAAACTAATTGAAATCATCCTTTAATTAAAAATATATATACAAAAAAAAAAATTATTTGTTTAATTGAAAACTGCATATTTTTTATTTTATATTTTTTTTTTTTGCTAGTAGCGCTGGTACAATGTAGAGCTTCATTCTTGTTGCATATTCATATAAATTTTCTTGTTTTATTGATAATTTTGGAGAGTGGAACTTTTTTTTTTTTTCTTAATTATTGGTATTTGGTGTAGAAAAACAAAATTTACATAGAATATTATTAACGTATATATATATATACATATAATAATATGTAAGTATTGTTATTTTATTTTCTTTAATGATGTCCAATTTTAATATTACTAGGTACATTAGAATATGTTTGTTGTCGAACATTTTCAATTGCATTCACCCATTTTAATGCGTAACCATCAGGATCTTCAAGATAGTATGTACGATTTGGCTGAAAAATAAAAAAAAAAAAATTCAAAAAATTAATAAAATATTTTGAAAATAATTTTTTTTTTTTTAAAAATAACAAATTTCTAATTTAATTTGTAATATATTCAATTTATTGTTTTTGTGTGCAAAAAAATTAAACTTAAAATATTTTTATAACAATTAATGAATATGAGGACAATTAATAAATATGTCACGAGGCAATTAAATACTTAAATATCATAATTATTTTTTAATTTTATTTGATCATATACAAAAAAAAAAAAAACTGGAATTAGAATTTCTTTAATAAAGAATTCTTTTATACAATAATTATGGAAAGTTTTTCAACATCTATTAAAAAAAATTAAAAATTTTTATATTTAATTTAAAAGTAATAAAATAAAACGTGCTGCTTTTATTATTAATATTAATTTAATAATAATAAAATGATCAATTTTAATGATAATAATAAAAAAATATTATAAAAAAAAAAAATAAAGTGTCTGAGACACGGGGTTCAACTATTAAAAATAGAACAAACAAAAACAAAAAGTTTAATAATTTTCAAATATGAAAAAATTTGTAAAAAAAAAAAGAAAAGAAATGGCAATAAAATAAAAACTATTATTTTTTAATTTTAATGGTTCTATATAACCGGAATTTATTTAAAAGTGTTACCCTAAATTAATTTCAAATTTTACGGTAACTTAAGTTTCTTAACAATTTTTTTTTCATTTTTTATTGCTTTACTCTTTTATTATTTTTTTTCTTTTTATTATTTTTTTTATAAAATATTATTTGATCATAGCATACAAACAAATCAAAATATTTTTATGAACCGCACCTCTAAAAACTCGATTTTGTGGGAATTTTTTCGCATTTTGCAATTTTATTTTTGTTTTTTTTTTTAGTTTTGTTCAATTCTTGCTTAACATTAGAATTTATAATATTCTACATTTTAATTTATTGGACAATATTGTAATTGAATTTTTTTTAAAACTAAAAAATTCAAATTCAATTTAATTTATAATAATTAATAAACAAATGCTGTTTGATTAAAACAAATTGTTTTATGTTTGCCCATCAATTGTTTTAAAATTTTATAATTGAAAACATACTTAAAAATATTTAAAACTAATTTTCACTAATTAATTAATTAAAATGTCTACTAAATTTTTTGCTTAATTTTCAATTAATTAGCAAAAATACATAATTGAATACGATTTTATAATAGTATATTTTTAGAAGAACAGGAATAATAAGTGTAAAATTATTGTGAATACTCCCAAAATTGCAAAATTTAATTTGTTTATGCTAAAATATTTTTACTTATAGTTTTGCTTATTACAAAATTTTCAAAAATTATTCCAAAACAAGTCATAAGTAATATAAAATTCATTTTGAATATTTAATAAATTAATAAGTCTAATTTAAAATGACGAGAGAACTAAGAGACAAAAAAAAAAATTATATTTAAAATTTGCATAAATAATAAACAGTTAAAAAAATTATATGAAATTTATGGGGCACGTGTTTTGCTTTACTAAAAATATGAACAGGTTTAAATGAGGTGTGAAATTTAATTTTTTTAGCTATTTGTATTTGATTTATCTAACTATGTACATATATATTAAATTTTAAAGATTGAGATTCTATTTTTGTTTTATCTTCAAATATTCATTAAAATAAATTTTATTCTTATATTCTTTTAGCTTTTATTCATTGAATATATTACAAAAAATATTGAATTAGTGGTTTTATTTTAAAAATACTTACCGTATGTACAAAGAATATTTTGAAATTTTTTGGTTCAACTCTTAATTCTGGACTCCATGGTATTTCACCTTTTTTAATCATTGCAACTGGATCAACATACACTAATTTTGGACCAGTTAATAATAATAACATACGTTTTCTAGCAAATAATCCTTTACGTTTATTAACGAAACCTTTTTTTAATATTAATTCACCATCAGCGAATGCATTCCATTTATCTGCTTTTTGTGCCTCAAGGCGATTTTTCATTTCAGTTTCAGTTAAATTAAAATTATCTAAAATTTATTAAAAAAAAATTTAGATAAAATTAACTGAATAATGAAATTTTGTGTATGTATTTGTTTTTTTTTACATTAAAAAAGTAAACTTACTTTTTGGTTCAGTCTTATCTCCCATTTCAAATCCCATTAAACCCAAACCTAATAGTCTTGTTAATTGTTTATCATTTAAACCTGGTTCTAAATTTTCTGGTACTCTATAATGGCTATGTAAATCATCTTCTTTATTAGCACCAGGTAAATATGGATATATTGTTGGTGGTGTTTGTATTCGAATTGTATCCCAATTAATACCATCAAAAAATGGATGTGTTCGTATACTTTCATAACAACCAATTTTATCTTGGGCACCTAAACGTTCTTCTGGTTTTAATTTTAATAAATTTCTGACTAGATCTTCAGCATTTTTATCAAAACCTTCTGGGAATTCTAAATTTAAATTTAAAATTTGTTTAAATATTAAAAATTCTGTATTGCCACGAAATGGTGGAAGACCTGATATCATCTGATATATAATACAACCTAATGCCCATAAATCACAAGCTGGTGATATTGTACCATCTTGTAATAATTCTGGTGATACATATTGTGCTGTACCAACAAAACTACATTTACGACGTCTTGTTCTTGTTTGAGCTTCTTCATTTTCATTATCATTATATAAACGATAATTATTACTACGATATTTATTTGATGATTGAATATAATTACTAGTGCTACTACTGCTATTATTAATATTATGATTATTAATTGGTGATGAAGTTGATGATATTTTTGTTGTTCCTTTTGCTATTGATGTTGTTGTTGAATTTAACATCGCTGATGATGATGATGATATTGATGATGGTGTTTGTATTGTCGATGATAATAAAGATGATGAAGAAGGTGAAGACGGGGATGATGATGATGATGTTGTTGTTGTTGTTGCTGTTGTTGTTCCTAATGATGATGATGTTACATACATATCACGATTATTATCAATTATTTTTGCTGAACCAAAATCAGCAATTAATGTATGCATATTTTCATCTAATAATATATTCTCCGGTTTTAAATCACGATGTACAATACCACGTTTATGCATATTTTCGCATGCTAATACTAATTCAGCAGCATAATGTTGTGTTACTTCTAAATCAAATGAGCCAACTTTATTTATATGTGGTAATAAATCACCATTTTTGGCATATGTCATTACAAAATATAAACGAGATTCATCCTGGAATGTACAATATAAATTAACAAAACCAGGGCAATTACTCATTCGATGCATAACTTCACGTTCTCTTTTAACATATTCTTGTTTCTTTTCACGTATGATATGAGCTTTTTCACAAACTTTAACTAAAAATAAGAAAAAAGAAAAATTGAATTATTAAATATTTCTATTAAATTTTTTTTTTATATATAAAGGTATTAAAAAAATTTTAGAGAGCAAAAATTAAAAATAGAAAATTATAAGATAATAGAATTCTAGGAATTATTGACAAATTTATAACACAAAAATTATTATTTTTTTTTTTTTCAACTTCTTGATAAGATACTCGCTGTATTTCAGAAACTATAACTAAGACAAACGACGACGACAACAGTAAAGGGCAAGAACAATAACAATAACAAAATAAAAATACAAGAAGTAAAACACAAAAATTTAATAAAAAAAAAATCTTATTCCTGGAAATTTTGATTACAAAGTCATCAAGTGTGTGTACGCAACGAAGTATATAAATTGTTGTTTGTTTAAAGATATTCACAAAAAAAAAAACAACAATAATAAAAATACCAACTTCGAATATTTGTATAACAACTTGTCATATCCGCTATTTTAATTGATAATGAAAATTTTTTTTTCATTTTTTTGGTTTTTCAATATACAATTTTGGTTTCGGTTTATGAATGAAGTACTTATACTGATAATAATTATGAACATGAAATTTTTTTTTGAAATTATTGTAATTTTTTCTGATTCTAGTACTTATAAACTGTTCTATAACATAACGAAAAAAAAACGCAATAATATTGACGCCATAGTACACAATATTTGTTTTTGTAAGCTATTAAATATTTATTTTATGCAATTTTAGAAGAAAATTAGAGTACAATTTTAGAGTTACTCATTGATTACATTTAAAATCAATAAGGTTTTTTGATATTATTCACAATATAGTAAGTAATCATTAAATATTTTCATAAATATTTACTCTATGACTGATATATTTTGAAAATATTAGTAGTTTTACGTAAATAAGATTAATAATAACAATAACAAATTATTGTAGTAATAAAAAAAATAAATTATTTATTCTGATAATTACAATTACATTCATTATTATTATTGTGAATACGCAATAAATATGAATAATTTTCGAATTATTATGAATAAATTGTATAAAGTTGAAGTTTGAAATTATTACTGAAGATTTTAATAATTTCAACTATGAAATATCACAACACAAAAGTATCGAATTAATTCATTTTGTGCATTCAACACAAAAAGTATCGAAATTAATATATCGAAAATTTTTATATCGCATATTCACAATATGTGTTATGAAAATTTTCGATCAAAATTCTCTCGACCATTTTAATCCAAAATTTTTATTTGATGACGTATGTAAGTATAATAAATAAATATTTAAAAACAGAGAAAAAATAAATTGTTAAAGGTGCTAAATAAACAAAATTTTATCCGGGTCTCAGAAATGAAATACTTTACATTTGATTGCTTTCAGTGTCACACATTTATAATGTATATATGTATGTATGTACTTTATGTAACATTGACAACTTATATACAATATTATTCATATTAAGTAAGTATACTGATATTTATGTAAAATATTTATTTATATACACATAATTATGTATAAGAAATATGTATAACAGTTACAATTACAAAATTTCAATGTTAAAATGCTAGGAGGTTTTTATTAAATTTTTTTTTCTGAAAACAATTTAAAATTTTTAAAAATTTTTGTGTTTTATTTTAAATATTATGAAAGTAAATATTTGAGTATAACAGTGATGTAAATTTGCGTTTCTTATATATACTTAAATATACATATCTATAAAAATATCTACATATTTACAGTTTTCAGTTGCTTATGTTTTCAATATTTTTTCTGATTTGTTTTTTATTTTAACTTTTCATTCATAATTTTTCATATTATTAGTGATGACAAGTAGAGAAATTTTTTTTTTTTATACTTTGTTACTCTTTTTTTTTTATAACATTTTGATTTTTTTTTTCTTCTTCTTCTTCTTGAATTTTATGTTTTTTATTCTTTAATTTTTTGCTTGTTATTATTTCTGTTAACCTAAATATTTTTCTTTGATTCAAGTAAAATAATAAATAAGAAAAACAAAAGAGATAAAATATAAAATAAAAGAAAAATACAAAATATATATGTACGTATGTTTGTAGGTATGTACTAACAAAAAAATACTACTGAATTGTCAAAATATTGGTAAGTTGAAGTTTTTTGTTCCTTCATTTTCAAATGAAATTTACTATACTAATACTTTAAAAAAAAAAAATCGAAAAAAAAAATTGTATAAAATCGAAAAAATATAAAAAAAAAAGTAAAATTCATTGATGTTGTATTCTTTGATCGTATCGTAAAAATATACCGTTATTAAAGCCTTAAGGTATTTGAAAAATAATGAACAGAGAATGAAGATTTTTTTTTTTTAACCAACCATTCACTTTTTTTTGTTAAATTTATTTGTTTGTTGTTTTATAATTTTTATAATATTTTTCTTTTTTGTTTAATAACGCACACATTTATGAGAAAACAGAAAAACAAGAAACATTTATAAATGAGCATAAATCAAAAATTTCATTATAATTTTTGTTTTAAATATTTTCATTTTTCTTATTATCTTTTCAGAAATTTTAATGATCGGAAACAGTATAACATTGAAAGAGAAAAACACTCAAATATTTATATACGTAGGACGAGTAACAAGTTAAATGTTTATAGCATATTGAGTAAATTGGTCAACAGTATAACTGTTGACGAACACGTTTTATAATGTTATGAAGAATATTATAAATCAATAATGAAATGTCTCAAAGAGAAATGTTTAAATGCCTACACAAGACTTATCAAGTAAAATCTTCTATCAAGATATAACACTAGATGGCGCATACATTTTTATTGTACGAAACGGTTTAAATTGCAGGGTTTTTACTGTATATTTTTTTATGAATATTTTTGTTTTTGATTGATTTGAAGTACGATTTTATAATTTTAATTCGATAGGTTATTTAATCTTCATTAGTATACGCACACTACCACACACATGTCTAAAATATATGGTTGTCAAGTGCATATAGAAAATGTATTAGGAATATAATGTTTGTATACAAGTAATACATACATAAGGAAAAAAATTTTGGTTTTCATTAATTATGTATGTACAAGTATGTATGTGCTTCTTTGACTGAAGACGCTAGTTACGCTAATAGCATACTTTCTTTAATTTATGTTACCGGATAAAAATTTTGAAATATTTTTTCCAAATTAAAGAAAAACATAAAATTATAAAACAAAGTTTTTTTCAAACATTTCTAATATTGACAATTACATTTTTTTTAAAGCCCCTAAACATATGCAATTTTTTAATTAACTAATTATTTAGTATTTTTTAGTATTTATTAGTAATTTTACTAGTATTTTACTCATTTGATCACATTTTCATTTTTACATTCTTATTTTTAACATTATTTCAATTAATATTTGTTTGTACCACGCCGTCTCTCTCTATCTTCTTTAATTCTAACTACGTCATAGCTTCAGTTTTTTTCTGTTATGTCGCATAATGCCTATACATTCCATATTCTTATTATTAAGCATTTATATATGTATTTTTTGTATAGCTACTCTTATTAATTTATATTAATGTTAGTTGTCCACGATTGTATTTATATAATGTTCACTCTAATCATACACACATTTATGTTGTCTTTTTTTTTCTTCAATACAAAAATTTCTTAAGTGTCATTGATCCTTTTCTTCGTGTTTTTGCTCTTTTTTTTCTCTTTTTACTTGAATTATAAATTATGTATCTTTTTTTCTAAAAGTATTTTCTTCAGGTTTTTTTTTCGTATTGTTTCTTATAATGCTCCTCCACATTCTTCTTAAGAGCATTTTTTCGCCATCTTTTATATAAGCAGTTATGTACCTAAATATTCGAAATTGAAATCATTTCTCTAATAAAAAAAAGAGACAAAACAACAAAATAACATAAAACTTCAAACCCAATAACAGAAGAAATGAAAAAACAGAAATAAAAAGCATAAGAGGAAAAAACAAAACTGAATTCCAAAAAGATCAGAGTGAGATTTTTTCTTTTTGTTAATTTTCTTCTTTCTTAGTTATTTCTCGTTGAATTGTAACTTAACTTTGTTTTCTCTTCATTTAATAATCAATATCATCATCGGTCATCAATAATTATCATTATCAATGGAAATATTACCATAGATGCAGAAAAGTATGTGCATATGTATATTGTGTATATGACATTCCATACTATGCCTGTATTATTTCTTAAATACAATATTCATTTTAACCGCGTGCACTCTAACAATCATTGAATAAATAATTAAAATAAATTTTCTAATTATTACGTATGCATGTATTTTTAACAAAGAAAACGCAACAACATTCTAGAAAGTGTTTAATGAAAAAAAATAAAATAAAATAAATCATGACTACAATTTACTTTTACTTGCACTTAACTCTGTTATATGCCTTCTCCCTCTTTAAACTCCTCTCAGCAATAACACAGTCATTTTTTATTACAATAATTTAACGCAATTATTATATTTGCGTTATGAGCTAGAGTTCTCTTGAATGGAATGTATATTTTTTTTTTTGTTATTCTCATAATATAATGATAATCATTATCATTACATCATTAATTTTATAATATTAAGTCTCAAATAATATATTTATGTATTTATGTACATTCAATAATAATAATAACTTAATAATCAACATAATAAAATTTATAATAATCTCAATATAAGCATATACTTTACAAGCCTATTAAATATTTATGTTTTTTTTTTTTTTAGAAACAAACGAAAAGTAATGGGAAGTGTAGAAAAATAAACATTATTAGATGTTAAAAGTATAATAATGAAATTAAATATAGTAAATGAATCGAACATCATAAATATTTCAATATTAATTCATTTTTAGAACAGCATAAATTAATTATGCGCAATAAGGGTACAATAAAACTTGTATAAATTGAAAATACAGTAAAAGCGATTACAGTGGCGCATCCAATACAATTATTCGATTCAAAATGCATAAAGTGATGAACAACACAAC